CTGCCGCCGCTCGCGCTGGGCCAGAAGCTGGGCGCGCTGGAGCCCTGCCACCCCGGCGACGGCGCGGGCCCCGCCAGACTCTACCCCGCCGCCGACCCGCTGGCCGTGAAGCTGCAGGGGGCCGCGGACCTGAACGGGGGCTGCGGGGCGCTGCCGAGCGGCGCGGGCGGGCTGGCCAAGCAGAGCCCCTTCCTGTACGCCACGGCCTTCTGGCCCAAGAGCGCGGCGGCGGCGGCGGCGGCGGCGGGGCCCCTGCAGCTGCAGCTGCCGTCGGCGCTCACGCTGCTGCCGCCCTCCTTCACCTCGCTGTGCCTGCCCGCGCAGAACTGGTGCGCCAAGTGCAACGCGTCCTTCCGCATGACCTCCGACCTGGTGTACCACATGCGGTCGCACCACAAGAAGGAGTACGCCATGGAGCCCCTGGTGAAGCGGCGGCGGGAGGAGAAGCTCAAGTGCCCCATCTGCAACGAGTCGTTCAGGGAGCGCCACCACCTCTCCAGACACATGACCTCGCACAACTGACGCGGGAGCACCCGGCGCTGCATGCGCGCGCGCGCGCACGGTCCAGCCACCTGCGGGAGCAGACACGCGAGGACGCCCACCGCTTCCTTGCGCCCCGAAACCCTGCACTCGGACCCCCACGCGCACCCCCCCACACACGGACCCAAACACATGTCCCCGGCCCCCAGGAACCTTCGTTGAAATGTTTACCCGGGACACACACACACGCACACGCACGCACGCACGCACCATGCACACACGAGCCGGGAAGGTGGAGTTTGCATCGGGTGGGTTGTTTGAGGGGGTTTTCTTTTGAATGCACGCATTTTCGCTTTCCCAGAAACAGAGGTACATTTTTTTAAATGTCATATATTGCAACATATTGATGCATTTGTCATACGTTTCTACTTAAATTATTAAGCACTTACAGTTTAGATGGAATAATTATATGTAAGGGCAAAATTTATTTTAGATATGAAGCAAAGGAGGAGGGCGAGATGCGTTCTGCATTTCTTGGTGAGAGCTTTGTGTTCTTACAAAAATAAACAAAACGGATAAAAAGGGGGCGTCGCCGTTCAATTTGAGTTTCCAGGGGGAAGTGCATGTATAAGGAAATGATTATGGACTTCAATGAAGAATGTTACCAATTATGTAAATATGTATTTCCTTTTAATACAAAGTGTAATTTTGTGCCAGTGAAATGGAGTTTGGATAGTTATGTGTTTCTTTTATCCCTGGAAAGATTTATTAAACTTTATAGTTTATCTGGGTATGTTGGATGCTTTGACAATAAATGACTATTTTCTTCAAAGCAATTATATGGAAAGTTTTTATTTTATGTTTCGGTAACTGAGGACTATCCTCTGAGTAGATACCACTTATTTTCATTGAGTCCCTGAAAAGAAGGGAACAAACAGCAAAAGAGAGGAATGAAGGGTAAACCTGGCCCTATTTGCATTTATTTACTCCAAGCCAATTCTGAGCCTGAAAGAAGATGTTTTGATGATGACTTGGAAGATCTTTGGCTGGAGAGTGTTGGGCTTCTTGATCAAAGACAAATCATTTAGACAAAGATGCCTGCCATGCAGCTAACCTGCCACTGGGATGTCAGCATTCTTTTCAGCAGCAGAATAATTAGCCTCTTCACAAATGGACTGAGACAAACAATACTCAGGCCTGGATCTGGGAGAGCAGATGAAAAGTACACTTTAGGTTCTACTAGTGATGCCTACACAGAAGAGCGTCTGTACTGTAATATCATTACGATGGCATTCTATCATTATCTGCTAAGAGACCCTGTAGGGAGTTTCCCTAGAAACCAAGGTGAAATGACCATGGTTTGATGGCAGTCTAAGTATTGCAGGGCTCAGTTTTCCTTCTAAAGTCTTCAACAGCTGTGCGGCCTCCAGGGGAAAAAAAACAACTAGTCCTGAAACATTGTAATACAGAAGAACCTGACAGCTTTCCTCCTCTCCCCACCCTTCCCTTTATGAAAGGTCTCTCTGTACTCTTCAGATACTGACAATAATTCTTAGTTAAACAGAGCGTGCATGTCTAGGTGTATGTGATATGACCAGCAACCATGAGACATAAAACCAAGCGAACAATGAATGATCTTTTAGGCCTTAGGGTAGCGCGCACTTGATCAGCAGGCATCTCTGTAATCACTACTGATGCTCTAGAAACAGACTCTGCACCAGTTCAGTTATCGCAGGAGTTATCACATGTTTTCCCTCCTTCCCTCACATCCTGAAGACCTTCCCCTATGTCTTGTGAAAAGGTCTGAAATGGGAAACATACAAAAAAAGGTCTCATTACGGGCCTTTTAATGGCTTTCCCTAAAAGGTTCTTAAAGGCTTCATTATCTTAATAAGATTTCTACAAAACAAGTTATGATTAGGGCAGGAAGCAGGTAAAGACTAGATATAGGGCAAGAGATACATCTAGAGAGAGCGTGACCAGGTTGATGAAAATGCCGATTGGCTTCCTTAAGATCATCCAAGTACTTTTTCGAGCTACACTTCTTTGAGGCCTGCTCTCAGTTTCCCTAGGCACCTGTTGGATGGTCTGCTACTTTCATCCCCAGCGGGGTGTCGTGAGAAGTCCACAATTCTGGTTCTGTCTCTGCTATTCACTGATGGGACCCTGAGTTATTGTTGACATCATTTGATTGGATTTACCTGTAGCTTGGTTTTCTCGTGTGTAAAATGAGCAAGGGTAGGTTCTACTGTCTCCAAAGTATTTCTAGCACTGCTAAATCGTTTTTTTTTCTTCTAATGAGTTCATCAGGCTCCAACTGAACATAAAGGAAGCTTTCTAGAGAAAAACCAAGATTGGTTGCGAAGTGAGGAAGATTTGGGGGGACGAGTGGAAGATGGGCCTCGAGAGAGCTTTAAATCACAAAGCCTGACAGGCAGGCTAAATTGTCCATGGGTGGGACGCTAGTGGATCTCTAGAGCAAAAGTCTCTTGCGCGCAGCACACACACAGACACACACACAGACACACACACACACACACACACAGACACACACACAGACACACAGACACACACACAGACACACACACACACACACACACACACACACACACACACAGGCAGGTCGTCCTGGGGCCTAATCTTCAAAACAAACAAACAAAAAAAGAAACAAAACTTTGCCTTTTTCCTTTCTATCTGATCCCTCTGGAATCTCCTTTTCCAGAAAGCAGATTCATTATATGTTGAGGAGTCAGACAGGGATGAAATGAGGTCTAGGAAGAAGTAAGCAAATACTGCTTTTTGAAAAGGACTTCCTTATAGTCTGGAATCGTATTTTCCAAAGGACACGTGTAGACACTCAGTGAGGCTCCCAGTGTTGTCTTTTGGTCGTTAACATAATCATGCACTCGGGCTGAGCCACTGCCCAGGCGACCCGGGCAGGTGCCCACACTTTGGGGCTGGGCAGCTACGCTCATCAATCTGCCCACAAGACCGTTTTGGCGGGTAGTAGTATGGGAAGGGCGCCCAAGGCTTGTTTTGCCTTCAGCCAAGGCAAACTCCGAAATGTTTTATCACCATGCTGCATTTTCAAACTTTCAGATGTTTCCTACCCCTCTCCTGTGCCTGAACCTTCTCAGGGGGAAGTTTCTAGGGTTCCATAACCCCGCCCATCTTCCAAGCTAGCTGAGTAGGGCTGGGGCTGCACCGGGCTGGGGCTGCGGAGGAGTCAAGGTCACAGGGTCATGCAGGCATCTAGCCAGGCTGGTCCCACGAGGTCCAGGCACGTGGCCGGAGCTGCCAGTGCGCGACCCGCAGGCCCTAAAGACTGGGGAGAGAGAGATCCAACCGGTTGCTGCATCACTGCCAAGCCCTGTGGCCCTGGACGCCCACGGCCCGCGCGTTGGGACCGCAGTCCCGGTGCTGGTGGCAACCAGGGAGGAGCCGCGACAGGGGACAGGGTTTTCTCACCCCGGGTCCTCATTGCCAGGCGCCCGGTGCCGGCCCCCTGCACCGCGCTGCTATTTTCTATTAAGTTGCCTTCTCCGCAGCTTACCTCCCCAGGCGCCCTGTCAGGGAGCGTGACCCTGAACTGCCACCCCACTCCCCTGCCTCATTCTGAAGGCCGAAGCCCCAGAGCGGCCTCGCCTTGGGGGTCCGCACTTGCGGTCTCTCCCTGCACCCCCAGCCGGCGGGACAGCCCTGCGCGCGCCCGGGCGGTGCATTCTGCGCGGGTGGAGGCGGCGGCGCGCACCAGGACGCACCAGGACGCACAAGGACGTACGCGGCGACAGCTCGCGACCGCTGGGAGGTTTTAGGTTTTCTGTGGCATCTCCCGTTTTCCCTTCCCTCTCTTGAGCATCTGCCTTGGGGACGCCCTGCCATCCAGGCCGGAGACTGCTACAGTGGCGGCGCCACCCCAGCGGGAGACTGCACCGCCCTTGCCCTGGGCATCCGGATTCCCCAGCACTCCGGGGGTGGAGGAGATGGACCAGAGCCAGCCCCAGCCCCGCCGCCCACGCCCACGCACGGGACAGTTCCTCCGAGCTTGCAAATTTCGTTGCCTTCCCCTGAAGGTTGACAGAAGACCTCCAAAGGGTGTAGAAAATGCAGCCTGCCCCAGAGCCAAAGTAGGATGGGATGAGAAGCTGGGCCACCTCCCTTTCCTCCTCCAAATACATTTTAGTTGATAGGAAGGCCAGAATTTTGGGGCAGAAACATACACATGCCCTAAACTGGTGGGCCTGAACGATGCCTTCTGGCTTTGCAACCCGGCTGGGCAGGGAGGAGGGGGGCTCTTTGCCTCGTGTTTCACGGTTCATAGTCCTAAGGGAGCTTTGGCTTTTCCTGCTTTAGATCTGGGACTTAGAACTTTGTACAAATGTGTATTCTCCAGGATTAGTGGCTAAAAAATGAAAAAAAAGTTTTTAAAATTTTGTTTATATTTTTATGTTTAGGGTTAGAAGTCTAGTACAAGTATCCTACTTGAATAGCTAACCGGGTTATGCTAATTATTTACCTCTCCTTTTTCAAGTTGTGTGTGTGTACTAGGATGTATATCTGTGCATGTTTGCACACATGTGCATATGTATACAAATACATGTGTGTGTATATTATAGACAGGCATACAATTTACATATACGAATGCACGTATATATTTTAATACACACACACACATAGGCACATTACTGGCAAGGCATTATTCTAAGTCCTTGTCATGAGTTGCCTTGGTTTCATTCTCACAACCCACCCAAGGGCTGCTAAGAATCTCACTTCATCACATTTTAGCATTATATTGTTAGTATGGCTGTCGCCCTGAAACAGAAAGATGAGAATATAAAACAGTGTAATGAAAAGAATAGTGGCTCTGAAGTCAGGAGACCTGCTCTAAATTTTGTGGCCTTTCCATCTATTTATCTGTTTCCTTTACTTGAACAGGTGAATAACATCACATAGCATTGTGTCTTGAAAAGCAAATAAAGTGCTACGTGTAGTAGCTTTTCATACTATTATTAACGTATATGATTGACTACTCTGTTGGCGAAAGAGATGTGCTTTTAGGCTCAACTTAGCTTCCTCAGGTGCAAGATGCTCTAGTACCTCTTTAAGAAATCTTCGGTGGCCTTGACTTCCTTTAACGATCTTACCCCCTT